CCCCCCCCCCCCCCCTCCTCGGGCTACCTCCCAGCATTTTGTCACCAGCATTAAAATCAGGCAGAGTGTTGGTAACATTATTTAAGAAATAGAAAATATGTACTGTGTTTCTATCGAGTTATAAAAACACTGGCTAGTGGAAGTTTGGGAGAATGAGAAATGCTGTGGGAACACTTGCTGATAGGTTGTTGGCCTAATGATGGCATGAGCAAAGAGAATTTACGTTTTGATGATCAAAGTAAACTTAACAAATTGACGTCAGTTTTTCATGCATCTGTCCTGTTATTGATCATGAATTTCGTCATAACATTGTTAAAGTAGGTGTGAACCGATAGCGATAGCCAAGTGGATCCGCAGACTACTTTGGCCATGTTATGACAAAATTCATTGTCAATAACATGACAGATGCATGAAAAACTGACGTCAACTTGCTTTTTACTGTAACAAATTGTCAAATTACCCACTCTCAATCGTTGACACATTGCATAAATTATAAATTCATGTGTCTGTCTGCCTATTGACAATGAAAATTAGCCAATGAACATGCAAGAATTTCTGCAGTTAGCTTAACAAAATTGCTTTCTTGCTTTCGTCACAGAATTTTCTATCAAGTTATAGAAACAGTCATGAAAGTTAAGGAGAACTCGAAAACTCCCAAACTTTCACGCATGTTTCTATACCTTGATAGAAACAAAGAACATGTTTTCTATTTTGTAATTATAATATAATTGACCACTAGTAGGCACAGACATATTTGAACCACGTACATCAACTGGAAGTTTGTGTTTTGCTTTTGAGTTGAAAATCTCTTGTTCTACTGTTTACCTAAAGGGCAATAGTACATGCCAAAGAAGGGAAAGTTTCACTTCAACTTCATATCTGTCTCTCAAAAATGTCTATGCTTAACCTCCCTTATGCATCCACATAAACATCAGCTGGCCAAACTTGCTGGAGGTGTTTTTTTCCTTAGGGTATGTGATAATTTCAGTATTTAAATACCTTGTAGGAGGACACTGCCAGAATCATTGATCACAGTGACAGAGAGTGGAACACCTTGGACCACCAACAACTTGTGTCTCGGAATGAAGAAGGCCCAGTCCAGGGTCACTACATGTATGTTGACGGCAAGTCTGTTTTCACAAATGCGATGAGCACCAATCAGAAAAGTAAGTCAAGGACCCAGTATTGGGGCTGGGCTGTTTGTATGAAGAAAGTTGACTGACGTATAGTAAATGATTTTTAAAACTCAGAGATGATTGAAACACTAAAAAACAAGACTTTGTGATGCACTAAAGAAGGACTCCAAGATTTCAAAATTGGATTAAAAGTTTGCAAGAACCACAATTTTGTAGGTTTCATTAAGGTCACCCCCAGAGATGCCAACCTAAAAGAATTGGAAAATTATCTGGGAGATTGCTGGTAATTTAACGTCTCTACCCCCCGAAAAGTCGTTAACAAAAGAGCTCCACAAAAATGTTTGAAATATCCCAAAAACGTTCCCCAAAAATCAAGAAAACAAAAACAAAAAATCAGCTAAAACAAGTGTGAAAATGTACTTCATATTTGGGGGAATTTAATGACCTGTGCAGGAGACTGGAAGATTCAGGCAGATAACTCGAGATGCACCCCCTCCCCACCCTTAGGTCGGAAAGTCACTACCTATATTGAATCTGGCGTGCCGGTAAATTCTCCCTACAGTACTTACAATAATAAATTCTCTCCAAAGTATTTAGAGCAGCAAATTCTCCCTACCATACTAACAGTAGAACTCAGGCGACTTTTTTAAGTGTTATTTGTTGAGTTAATTGCTTGTTTTTAAACAGCTCTTTTCAAAACTCACACTGTCTTGGAATTTGACCGAGAAATGAATGCACGTCAAGTGGTTATGTTAGAGAATACTTCTGGTAGTGTTGTGGCGATAAACCGACAGGATGATACCATCATTGCAAAGGTACAGTGTATGACTATGTTATCGTCACAGAATTCTATTTAGCAATAGGATTAAACAACAAGCCGAGACCTGAGAAATTAATGCCAGTTTGATAGGCCACTGGGCTTGAAAGTAGTGTTTACAATAATAATAATAATAATAATAATAATAATAATAATAATAATAATAATGATAATAATAATAATAATAATGATAATTATAATAATAATAACAGTTCATTTATATAGCGCACACATCCATTATTTGCCCAAGGTGCTTAACAAAACTATCCCTAAAAACTATAATTTTAGTCTAAGAAACTTAACACTAAAAACTAGCAAAATACCTAAAAGAACTAGAATCTAAACAAAAAAAATTAAAAATATGATCAAGAGTTACTCTATAAATTCAGTAAAAAGGAAGGTTCTTAAATAATAAAACTGTACTGGATCATCGTATTTCCAAAGAAACAGTGTTCCAAATCTTCAGAGGGCATACAGAAAAAGCTCTGTCACCATATGTTTTGGTTTTACAAGTTGGCTGCATTAGCAGTCTTCAAAGTGCGAGTGAAGAGACCTAGTTGATTTCCGATGTTCCAGGAGTTCTGTTAGATATTGTGGGCAGAGACCATTCAATGATTTGTAGTCAAAAGGAAGATGCTTAAACATGATCTAATATGAGACAGGCAACTAATGAAGCTGTACTAAGGCAGGAGTAATATGGTCATATTTCCTTGCACCAGTGACATAACAAGCAGTAATGTTCTGGATTTGTTGCAACTTCTTCACTTTATACTTTGGTAGTCCAAAGAAAAGATGATTGCAATAGTCCAACAGTCCTTGCAGTTGAGTTGACCATCACTTAATATTGAAACCGAGGGCGAGTACCGGTGGTGTAAATTGCAGTAGTGCTGACTCTTGACCGACTGTTGAGCATGTGTCACTCAAGATGTCAATCAAGTGTCGATCAAGTGTCAAGCGAGTATCAATTGGGATGTCAATCGAGTGTTGACAGAGATGTCAATCACCGGTCGATCAAGGGTATTGATCGACACTCAACCATGGACACACATGATCCTGTTTCTTTCCCACCTATTCTCTGGTTGCCCTTGTACTTCATCAAAACTCAATGAAACACATGTATATCATATTAAAAATCGTGTAAAATTAAATTAATATGTATATAAATATACTTTGTGGAAATGGTGCATTTAAATTACATTTATTTTAATTTGCTTCATTAGAAACTTCCCACGCCTCCAAGCACATATAACACCCTGGATCAAGTTAAAAAGGATCATCCAGAAGTGCTCTTCTACAAGATCCCAAGAGAACCTGGGAGTGAACTATTTTACTTCAAATCCTACCTGACAGATAAGCAAAGGATTCTGGGATTTGACCAGCATGGCAATCCACTGAACACCGCTCAGGTCCAACCAGATCAGCTGGAAAGTCAGTTTAGTATGATTTAATACTCGACTGACTGTGATTGTTAAAACCACGCGGACTCTGGAAGTGTCATTTTTGACATTTTCTGCTGCCATCACTATGCCAGAAACAAATGTTTGGTTCAATTTGTTGAAAAAGTTATGCCTGTAGATTGTGATTGGTAAATGTAGATGTTGAGCCATTTTGTATTGTTTTTGTTTTTCATTTTTTTTTCCCAAGGTTCATTAATTGTTGTTGCGATTAAGATTGGTGACCATAAGAAATGAAACCATTAGTTGGGTTTTGAGCTTTAGAGTTCTTGTGGTTTTTGAAAATTAACAGTTTTTCTAAAGAAAGTGGCTAAGGGAATTGAACATGTAACTGCTTATCATCTCAGACTCTCTCATTTCTGAAATATACAGAGATGAAGTAAAATAGTTATGACATAAATAGAAAACAAAGGACTTGACCATGAAAACGTTATTCATTTTTTGGGGGGCAACTTTCTTTTAATTTTTATAACAATTAATAATTATAGCGACTCTCAATCTGGTCATTTGCAATCTGAATGCACATAATGCATAGACTAATAATGAGGTAATAATTAAGAATAAACTTGAAGGAAAAGTGAAACTTCAGCTTTTTAAAAATGCCAAGCATGGTTGTACTAGTTGCAAAAACTAATATTAGCCATAACTGATTTTGCACCAAGTTATTTGACCTGAAATGTACAACAGGGCACATGGCACACCTTTTCTAAGTTATGAGCTGTCTATTAGAGAACTCTGCAAAATAATGCAAAACAAACAAAAACTTAAGATTAATCTAGACAGAAAGTTGGAACCATTCTTTATAAAGTTGCACATAAGAAATTGGTTACAAAAGAACTGTCTGAAGGAGGACTATTGAAATGCTCTCCTAGTGAATCTGTATAATTTACATGTTCAGTTTCCCTTAGAACTTGCATTTGGTCAAACAGTTATCTAATGACATGCAGAAAATGTTTCTGTTTTGTTTTGTTTTTTCTAGAAGAAAAGGATAAGTTACGTAAATTACAATTAACGTGAAATTACTTAATCCATTGCTGATGAATTTCAAGATTTGATGTTTGTCATTAAATGCAATTGAAGTCGCAAATATTTTCTAGCAAATGAGGTAAATTCCATTTGAGGAAAGAAATGTGCTTCATTGAGTACTTTTCACTTGAGTTCAGGTTATAATGGAAATACAATTTTTTCCTATGGAAAAAATCTTTCTATGATTATAATAGAAAGATTTTTTTAAGACAAAATTATCAAAATAATAATTATAAAAAGAGTATCAGTATTCAAAAGAATATTTTGTAGATGACTTGATATAAAATTGCACACTGTTAGATAGTGAATTATTTTTACAGTAACTGTACTAATGTACATCAAAATGTTTTGTAAACGTAAATCTTGTTAATTAATAATTTATTACATGCAATTTATTTTTATACCATTTTTGAGATAAAAATAGGTATTGAAAGAAATGACAAATATGTATCAAGTTTGAGGTACTGTTATGTATTTTTTTATTGTTGATATTTTCAACTTTACAGTTTAGTTTCTTATAATAAATTTGGTCATTTAATATATGGCTGTCAATATGGTTCTCATTTCCTAAATGCAACAAGTTAACTGTGGAGCCCTGCCTTTCAGTTAATTACCTCATAAATACAGTCACCTCGTAATTACAGTGACATTTTTGTCCCAGCAACATGGATTTTTTTTCAGTGGCCACAAGCTGAAATCCCAACGTGTTTAACCCTTATTTTTTTATTTTACCCTATTAATTTAACCCCTAAAACCCTCACATTCATAATTGACCAAATAAAACAAATCATTGAGCAATACTCTTTTTTTATGCAAAATGTCTGAATTCCAGATGCTTATTAACAAAAAGTTGTTGAGAAGTGCAATTGTGATATATTTGCCACTTGTGAAATCTGACCCCTGTTTATATTGTCACCAAATTTTCATGGCCCAAATCATGGCCAATGTCTTCAGATAAAATATTTACAGGAAGGGTTATATTTGGGATGTGGCAGATATTGAACTTTCTGTTGAAAGAGAAAGGGCTGAGAAAACAACACTGTACATGTGAATATTTGCAGGACAACTGAATCATCATCACATGCAGTCCATCCGTCTCACAAAAAAAAGTTCAATACCGTAAAACCTCGAATTAGCACCCCCCTCAAATAAGTGCCTCCTTCGAATAAGC